ACAATGAATACATTTCAGGCTAATGTGCTGCCAAGCTCCAGCTCTCTTTCTAGCAGCTGAATTCTTGGATAAAATCATTTTGCAGGGTATGAGCAATGCAGTTCTGAAAATAGCATCACTGCAAAATGAAAGATGGCAAGAACCTCTATAAAGCTGATTTATTTCAATGAAATTTCATCTTTTATGATTAGTATCTATTTTGATGTTTTCAGCTGAATTTTCATACTTAATATAATGTAAATCTATAGAATTTGTTCATTCTGAGGCTCCAGCATAAATACCTAGGAGGGAAACAAACAAAGAAATTGCCCATTCACAATTTACATCATAAAATATGTAAAACAGAAAAATCCTTTGTGGATCCAAATAATTTGCATTTATCATCACCATATTTACAAGGACATTAAAAAATGAAAAACAAAAACAAAAAAAATAACCAAAAAAAAATAAACCACCACACAATCACAAAAATCCCACCAAAACACCAAAATAAACACCACCAATCAACAAGCTGTTTCACACTTATTCTAAGTAAGTTTCCACTGGAAAAATGGATTGGAACAACACTCTTTAAAATATCAGTGGGTTTAAGCATCTTGCATAATGCTCAGCCTTTAGACATGTGCTGAGAAAACATTAAGAGGTGATATTGCACTTCTCTGATTCTAAGTAGATTACATCCTTTGGCTCTCTTTCCAATTCACTTATACTCCAGTACTTTATTTTTTTCCTAATAGTGAATATTTTTAAGTAGGTTGAGAAAAAAAAACAAATTTCTAATGAGAAAGAGCCCGATATTTTATAATCCATTAATACAGCAGTTTTTTCTAATTAACATCAGCAGCTAAACTGGCATTCTTCTATCACCGACTATAAGCTATAAATGGGATTTTATGCATATGAAAATCCCTAAGTCTGACAGTAGAAACAGGTGAAAAAAAAACAACGTAAATGTCATCTATCTACCTTTGGTAACTGGTGCCACACAGAAAGTGATGCTGAGACCAAGCCCAGCCACACTCTCAGCAGGACCTACACTTGTTAGGTCCATGTGAGGAAGCCAAAAATAAGAATGTCCCATTTGTGCAAGCCCCAATTCATATGACTCATATAGACTTCCCTGAGTTGTCCTAATGACACCAAAACAGTAAAGATGATTCATGCAAGTAAAAAATGGGAATACACAACTTCTCTTCTAAAAATGTCCTGTCTGCATACATATAGGTGTATGTTCATAGGTATACTATTTTTATCTTTATATTATCTTTATCCACCAATGTTTTACACCAATTCATATAAGTGGCAGATCTGTCCTGAATTTAATAATTTATGTAATACATACATACAGAACAAATGACTGAGGAGGAAAAAATATTAAAAGATAAAGAGAGAAAAGGAATGACAGAGGAAAATTAGAGGGGGGATAAAAAGAAAATACATGAATATATATCCACAGAGATGCAGTAATTACAGAAACAGTCCCATTGATTTTGAAAGGTATCATTTGTAGCTTTATAAAAATTAAAATATACTAAGTTTGGGATTTTTCTTTCTTTTTTAATCAGTACAAACAGGTTTATTATCAGAAAGGAGGATGTGTATCTTTATGTAGTACATTACTCACTATCAGTAACAATATCAACACATGCTGTGCCAAAAGGATACTCAGGAATTACAAGATATACTTAAGATTATCTGTCTTCATACAGTATAAAGAAAAGAAGAGAAATAAACTGAGTCCTCTGCTATCATTATCAGGCAACATACAAACCTTGTATATTTAACAGTATGTTTTTTCTGTAGTCTGTACAGATAATAAATATATAAATATATGTGGCTACAAAAAAGAAGTGCTTTGCATACTGTGATAGCAGTAGTGGTAATAGCGCCAGGAGTACTATATACAATATTCTCATCTAAGTGCAAAATATCTGCTGTGTTGCAGGTGTAATTAAAGGACTTGGAGCTGCTGTGTTAAAAGTATGACCATGGTATCTTGCACCAACAAACAGATCCCAAACACATGACACAATTAATATGATACATTTAAATGGAATGCAATATGCATCAATCAGCAGCTAAGCCTTATGGCTCAGATCAAGACACAATTACTACTGTACTTCAATAGTTTATTAAAGGACAGACTTCAATATTTGCAGTGAAATATTTCAACACTGGAAGCAAGGAATGCAATACGACCTGCTCAGATTTTCAATGAAAAATTAATGCTACCATTTCATACAACACAAACCTGCACATGAAATTCTCTATATTTTGCTTTGTACACATATCAGGGCCTTTTTATCTTATCCGAGAATTAAAATTAATCAAATTACTGAGATTCTATCACACAGGCATTGCATAAACCTTCAGCATTTCTTGCTAAGAATACTACATGCTTCTATATTATTATATTCGTGATAGTGACTTCTGAATGTTTTAGTAAAAGCACATGTTAAAATATTTATTAATGCAGAAGAAAAAGATGACTGAATGAAAAGTGTTTGTACAATAATGTGTTGTTGAAGCAACCATACACTCTACAGCCCTGAATATGCACATTTTTCACACAACAGCTAGGAAATCCTGCTTCCTCAGATGAACTTTTTCACTGAGAGAAAAAACAGACTGAAAATAATGGGGAGAAAGCAGGTAGCTGAGAACATAATATCAGCAAACCTCCAGTTCTTCAATTATTCATATCCTTTCTTTCCTTTATTCTCCTCTCCCATGTTTTTTTTTAATTCCTATTTTTAATATTCTTAATATATATTTTACATATTTTACATTAAGAGCATTTGCGTCACTTCTCTTTGTTCTTCCCCATTTGTAATTTTTAATAAGAAGTGAAACACTGCTGTCAAGTATTAAAAATGAATAGAAAAATTTTCTCCTTCACCTGTTACATCATTACTTTTTGCTAAGCAGCTCTCCCTGCATCAACCTGTTGTGTGCTGCCTTCTAAACAAACTAAGCCTTGCTTGCACTTTGATGCCATTTCAAAGGGGAAACAGTACTGAGGATGCACAGTCTCTACAGATTGTTTCTGCAATATTTCAATGGAATAACAATGAGAAAAAAAAAGGAGAGCAAACAAGTAGATTGCGGAGAACATGGAAATGTTGATGATTAACATATTCTGAATTACTTTATCATAGGTACAGTTATAATTATAGTTATATGTTTCACTGTTGTCAATTTCTATTATCATGACTGTCAATAAAGGTACATTCGGAAGGAAATTAGTAGAAATAGATGGGGAGACAAAACCAGTTTTAAAAGAATATCACATATTCTTATGTTAAAAAGCAATCTGGACTTCTATTTGAAAATATATATAATCTTTTTATATTATTTTCTTTTAATTTCACTGGGTTCTATTTTTCTTTCTCTTTTAAACCCCAAAAAATCCACATAGAAGATAAATTGTAATCAGTTGTGTACGATAACCTGATCAGCTCAGTGAGAAACCGTAAATATCAGAGCTCAAAAAACCAGAAATAAGGGAGAACACAAGAAAACAATGAATTAAAAAGTCCTGGGTCTGTATTTTGCTACACTTGCTTCTACATGGCACATCTTTATACACTGCAACACGAGAATGTTTTAAAAGATAATTTTCCCTACAATGGGAGACTGTAGTATTTCAACTTAGAAGATATTACGTGTATCTTAGCATCTTATCTCTGTATTCCTTCCTTTTAACAGTGCGAGCATCCCTTTGAGCTTTTCATAATGGAACCGATACTCAGAACTGAATCCAATTATAACAACCTACCAGCACTACTAATTGGTGAAAATGCATTGCTGGTAATTACTGCAACCCAAGCTTTGCCCAGGATGAACGACACCAATAAATACTACCCAATGTTAAACAATAAGAAAAGACTACCATTAGCACTGTTTTTCTTATGTAAAATGCTTTAAAGTGAGTCATCCACTTAAAAGTTACCTACTGGTAGCTTTAACCCAGATTCGGGGACTAAGGAAAGTGCTTCAAAAAACCAACCAAACAAAAAGAATATAAAAATAATGAGGTGAGAGAGAAGAAAAAGAAAGAAAACACGATCACATAGTGCTTTGTCGTGGATTTTTTTTTTCCTATCTGTAGGCGAATCTTCAATATGTATTGGCTTCCTTTTGCCTTTCTTTTACTGCATCATTATTATTTGATCTTTGCACTGCTCTGGGCAACACTTTCATGCTAATAATTCTGCAGCGCTTTAAAGATTCCCATCTCAGGGCCAGGCAAAGCACCGAGCTGCGTGCACCGCGAGCATCCTTCAGCTCTCGCGAAGATATTTCTGAGAAGTAACGACCTGCAAGGCCAAGGCTGAAGAAAACACTTCTCCAGCTGTGTGGCTTTACGCGTGCGAAAGCCCCTCCGGCGGGACCCACGCTGCGCCCCCGCGGACCCACCGCAGCCCCGAGCCCCGCGGGTGCGCTGGAGCCCGGCCAGGCAGGAGGGAGCCGGAGCTCGGGCTCGGAGCTCCCAGCCATGCCCGCCTGCCCCGCTTCCCATGCCGGCCGCGGAAAGGCAACGAAATCCGCCTTCCCTGTGGATTTTGATCAAATTGCCAAAGTTTTCAGGTTTTTTTGTAAACAGTGTTGAAACTCCATCCAGGCTGGAATAACCTCTGTGGGAGGAAGGGGCGGACTCTGTGTAACTCGAAACTTTCTTGTCGACAAGGATGACCTGACGGGGTATATCTGGGAGCCGCTCCGGAGCGGGATTCCTAGGCGAAGCCTTTACCTCAAAAGTCCCGCCGCCGGCCGTCACCGGAGCTTCCCCCTCCCGGCGACCGCCCGGGCGGGACCTTCAGCTACCCTGACTCTTCTAAGCAAAAGCTGCCGAAAACCTACATATTTTTTTCCCGATCTTCACTTTCCGCACGCTCTAACTTGATTTCCCTTTGTGTTGTCGCTGTCCTTGGCGCCGAGGAGCGCCTCCGCCCCGGCCGTGCCCCCGCCCCGGACCCGCGGACCCCGCTGGGACTTACGTGGTGGCCGAGGGGAAGGGTCCCTCCGAGGAGTGGTTCATCACCACGGAGTGGAAAAGTGTCAGGCTAAAGAGCAGCAGCCAGCCAGCAGCCATCTTCCTGATCGAAGATCGATCCCCCTTCCCCAAGTCGGCGAGACGGCAATAATAATAAATTCAATTATCGTGTGTGGCGGTGCGGGGGGGGCCGTGGTTCTTTAAAGCCTCCTCCGCTCCCCCCACCCGCCCCCTCGCAGGAGGCGCAGCCCAGAGATGCGCGGAAAAGCGGGAGCGCGGCCGAGGGTGGGGAGGAGGAGGAGAAAAAACGATGGAGATCTGTGGGTGGAGTGGGAGAAGAGGCGAAACAGAGAAAAGAGAGCGAGCGAGAGATACTCCACTCTCTTCTACTCCAGCAGCAGCTCCAGCTTCATCCGATCCGCCGCCATCGGCGCTACTTTTGTAACAGATCCTACTCTGCGTGTGTGTGCGCGCGTCCTTCCCTGATTTATTCCACTGATTGCAGAGCAGAAAGACGAGGAGAGAGGCAGGCGGGGTGGCGGCTCCTGGAAGAAGAGGAGGGAAGCAGGCGACAGAGTTGGAGACGGGCGGATCGCTGCCGGCTCCTGTCTTCCCTGCCGGCAGCGGGGAAAGTCGGGGCGAGCAGCGGGGGCGGGCGCCGGGCCCTGCGGCGGCCGCGCTCCATACAAGGCGCCCAGGAACTCCCGGCCGGGCCGCCCCGGGGCCGCGCTGCCGCCGCCCCGCCCCGCCCCGCGCAGCCCGCACGCTATTTTTAAAACCGCTTCGTGCCTTATTTTAATTCCAGCCCCCTCCTCCCTTCTCGGCAGCAGCCGCCGCACGCGGCCCGTGTGCCACCAGTCTGGGCTGCGGTTTAAATAGGTATTTCATGGATGTGGCTGTAAATGCCGCTCTCCCCGCGGCCGGCTGGAGCAGCGCCGCTCAGCCCCGCCGAGCCCGCCCGGCCGCCGCCCCCGCCCTGCGCAGCGTCCCGGGCCCGCCGCGTCCCTGGGCGCCTCCGGGGAGCCGCCCCCGGCACGGCCGGGGGTCCTTGGGCTTCACCCCCGCCCCGCCGCATCGCTAACCCAGTTACTCATTTCAGATCTCCCTGGAAATTCAGAGGACGCATTCCCTCTCCCTTCCTTTCGTTTGTTCACGCACACTAGTCTCTGTGGCAACTATACACTGTCGGTATAAATGTAGAAAGTAATCCAGGGAAATAAGTTCAGTGACAAATTTGATTTTCTTTTTGATCTGTGGGTTGGTTTTGTTTGTTTTTTTCTTTATATGTGCTTACATATTTATATTTTAATATATTTACTTAGTTCAACAGGTGAAAATGAAAGAGCAGACCCAGTATTCATTTTGTTTTCACATCTTTTGTATTTAAGGATCACATCTTGAATGTATTAACTCACAACAATTTCCATAAAACAGGAAAGTGCTCATCTCTATCTTAAAGGTGGCGAAGGGATCAAAACTGAGATGCACAAATGAAGAACTGAGTGCTCACATTGCCCGGGCTCAAAGCCAGCACGATATTTCAGTTGCAATCTGTAAAGCATGCAGTCACTCATCTACATTGTTTCTGGATTGGAGCTGGCACTTGGGAGCTCGTGGGAAGAACTCCCAGTTGTCTTCACCTATCCACCTACCTATAGGTACGTAGGATTCATCAGGGTTTGGATGCAAGTTTGAAATAGCATTCTCTAAAATGATTCTGCAGCCTTTAGACTCAAACAGTCTGAAGAGTATCTATAGCTCAGCTTTTGTTGGTCTCCATAGTCCTGACAGTTTTGCCACATGAAGTGGCACCTCTTTGGGTACTTACCTGTAACTGCTCAGCTGAGTACCTCTGCTTCCCCACGGGGATGTCAAGGGCACCAGCACAGTCATGGTCCTGTGGCACAAAAGTCCTGCTTCACATGAGACGTGTTGTAAGGAGATCTGGGGTAGAAAGATGGTAGGGAATGGATTTAAATCTTGGAGAAATGCACAGAGGAAAGGGTCTGGAGATGTGAACTAGTACAGGTTGCAGCAGACCATGACAAATTTACTTAGATAAAGCAATCTACTTAGATAAAGCTCCTCATTTTTTGGGCTCTCACACTAAGAGTAGCATTAAATACTGAACAAAAATACTGATTCTGCCCCTTGATAGGATTCTGGAGTGTGGCTCAAGTTCATGCCTAAATTCTTCTGCGTTACCAAGAACCAGATGTTCTTCAGTTAGTTGTACCCCAAAACACCTACAGTTTTGCAGTGGGCAGCACACTAATGGATTAACCCTGGCAACCCCTCCAGAATAAATGGGAATGCCCCACCTGGCTCCTTCCCTACCTGAAGGATCAAGCATATGCCCGTTTCTTCTCTTCTCAGCAGGAAAGTGTTCATGTTAAATTCCCAGAAGTGCTGCCCCTAAGGGCCTGTTGAGCAAGCTGTGGGCACTGAGCTTGGAAAGAGGTGCTCACCCAGGGGAGAACTCACTGAAGTGGGCAAACAGAAAAGTACTGACATATTGGTGTGGGAAAGAGAGGGTGCAAGTAATTGTGCAAACACACAGAGGAAATGGTTTCAGTAGGTGAGAATAAGCAAGACCACCCTTACTCACAAGTACCATTTCAATATAATGTAAAGGAGACCAGAAGATCAGGGAATGATAATGTAAAATAATAAATAGATAACTAAAGGGTTTCACAGGAATGTTTCTTTCATCATTAGAACAATTTTCTGTAAGCCTCACTTCTGATGCTTATAGAGCTTCTTCGGGCAATAATTATAGCTGCAAATAGTTCCAACAACAGTAACACATGGAATGGCAATGGAACTGTGCTATGCATGGGTTGCTTGACACCCCACCTAGTACTGTAAAGTCTGGATTAATCAGTACTAATACACTGAACAACAGCTGAAAAGTGAAAAAATATTCTAGAGGAAATATCGCTATGATTTAATAAAGAAGTATTCAACACTTCTGTGCAATCTACTGTGCTGTTTACAACTATATAACAAGACCCTCTGCAAGTTAATCCTACTGTGAGCAGTGTGAGTGCCTGTGGAGCTCCCTGAAACTCAGGGATGAAAGAGAGAAGTTGTCTATATGAGGCTCCAGCACGGAGGAGAAATACACAGGTTAGCTCCAAACAAGCTGGTTGAGGTGTGGAGGAGCAGCCAGGGCTGGAAAACGGAGCTTGACAAGGGCTGTGGCATTCTGGGAAGATCTGTGATAGACAACTCATGATGAACCTGCATACTTTTCAGGATTTACAAGTAAACTTGAACTGGAGCCCAGTTTTGAGAAAAGGTGGAATCAAATAACAGTTTTCCTGTAAAATTAAGTAAGGCTGGAAGTCAGGTTTTGAAGTTTTGCCTTTTTTTGAATCTGAAACTCAGGAATCCAATGCCAGCCTGAAGCATGGGGAAGAAAAGAAAGCAGGACTTATTCCATGAACAATTTGTTATTTACTAATCACCCAGTCTTTGGTTCACCTAGTTATTTATGGCCTAAAAATTCATTAATTTTCCAGGTATTTAATAAAGACGCAGAATATTTAGAAATGGTGACCTCATCCTACAGCTGTGTATGGACATGAGTAATAGGCCTCAACAAGTTCCCACTACCTTCAACAAGAATGTGTAATTGACATAAAACATAAAATTAGCAAAGTTTCTTGGTATGTCTTCACCCTCTCATAATGCAGAAAAAAAGAAGCACAAATGTGGTTCCATCATGAAGTTTTAAAAAGCCATTCAAGTCCCCTAAACAATCAATTTCTTTACATTTGCTGATTAAACTATTTTCTTATATAGTCAGTGTTTTAAATACATGGCTTCTTCTTCACAGTAACATTGCACTGCAGAAATTCTTGTAATTTATCTGCATTGAGATTCCTAAAGATCTATTGCAGCAGACAAATCTTTTTCTTTAAGCACTAGAATGACAAACAACGAAAGTAAATCTTTCTTCATTCTTACTTCACTTCATTCTAAATTTATTGCCTGTCATATCTGACCAAGACCTTTCTGTGAAGGAGCACAGGAGCAACAGGTATTGATATAATAAGGGATCATACAGAAAGTTTGCTGTGTAGCTATTTGGTGCACTTGGCAGTGTTAGGTTTGTGGTTGGACTCTTACCTTAAAAGATCTTTTCCAACCTAAAATATTCTGTGATTCTATTCTATGATTCTACTGAAAGTACTGGAAATCTTTCAACTGACCATGGTAGTCCATATGTCAGAAAAAAATTCCTATTGCAAAACTACAACATTTGCATCAAAGGCTTCTTCTCAGTTCATTTAATCCATAGCAAGTATTAATTAATTATAAAGTTTTTCCCTTTTATTTCAATTTCTGGATATATTATTTATGTTTTCATGCCTTATTTACACCATTGCAAATCTAGCATAAAAGATAAAGTAGCAGGGCCCTCTGTTTCTTAATCATTTTTAAAAAATCCAAATTTTTTATTTTAGCACCGGAATCAAAGTTCTCTTAATCTGGTTTTATGCTTGTGTATAAACTCATTCTTCAGTAATCAGCATTTTCAGAAAAATTCTTGAAGCCAGTAACAGGTTAAGACCACACGTGCCATGATTGCAGCACTTGTGTGAATAGATGGGACACAGTTACTACGTGCCTTAAGTGTCTTTTGGGGGGGCGTTACAGGCAATAAATCTGTCTTGGCTTTATTCTTGCCAGCCCTGATCAGCCTTTTGCTGAGCACATTCCACCTTTGTGCTTGGCATAGCACATGCTCCGCTAGATGGAACCCCCAGATATTACTGGGTTCAGCCAAAATATGCTTGCTGAAATATGGCAAAAAAGTGTGTGCATGACCCTGGAGAAAGGTGTAAAGCACAAGTCTGATGAGGGGTGGCTGAGGAAGCTGGAGATTAGCCTGGAGAAAAGGAGGCTCAAGGGAGACCTTATCACTCTGTACAACTGCCTGAAAAGAGGTTGTAGAAAGAGGTTGTGGGGGTCAGTTCTTCTCATGAGTAACAAGTAATAGAACAAGCGGAAATGGCCTCAAGTCACACCAGGGAAGGTTTAGATGAGATATTAGAAAAAAATTCCTCATGGAAAGGGTTGTCAAGCCCTGGAACAGACAGCCCAGTGAAGTGGCTGAG